AATAATACTGATGATTTTGTATATGTTTTTTTACAATTATCTAGTAAAGGTACAAAAGTTTTGCCAATAAAAGCCACAAATAACATTGAACAGAGTTACAATTTAGGACACAGCTTTTTTGTTTCTTCTTCTAATGGCCTGTAGCAAAAAAACTTGGAAAATTATTTTCCCTACAGAAATAAATAGAGTCAAAGTGCAAAATTTAAACTCTCATAACTTTGAAACTTTTATAGATAGATTTTTTTTTTAATTTTTTCTATGTTTGTGATACCTTACCCTACATGGCATTTGTCTTTGAAGCGGGAGTTCTGACGCACTCTGTATGTGCATACCATGTAGAACGTGACTCCTTCAACTTTTAGAATCGCGATATCTCAGGAATGGTGATTGTTAGAAAAAAAGTATAAGGACCATTTTGTAGATAATTTCAAGATCTATATTTTTTGGCTGGGCTACTTTTTTGATAAAACTTACCGTTTTCGAAAAAAATCTAAAAAACGTCAAATTTAGACCTTTGACCCCGAATAACTTTTTTAGCACACATGGGATCGATGGGGTAATTTTGACACTTTATTCCTAATGGTGTACTCAATATCTCCACCAAAATTTAGCTCTGTCGGAATTTTAGTTATTTAAAATGTTTATTTTGACCGGACTAATATAAAATTTGTCAAGTTGTCACGACATGACTTTTTTTTGTCGCCTTGTGTAATTCGGTATTTTAACGAATGATTTTTAATGAATGAATTTTAACGAATGAATGTATTTTCTACTATCGAATAATTCGAATGATAGACAACTATCGAATTATTCGTTAAAATTCATTCGATTGTGCCCACCACTAGCTTTTACCCACTTTGCTCTCCTCCTTGCTCTCCTTCAGCTTCTTCTCAGTCTGTTGCTGCGTGAATATTTTATAGGCTTCCGTCTGCTTGTAGGCGTTGTATTCCCGCGTGTACCGCTCCCTGTCTTGCTCAGCGGCGTCCAAATACTGCTGTTTTTTGTCCGCCGGCAGGTTGGTCCACTCATTCGCCAGCATTTTCGTGATTTCGGCGAACGAGAGACTGGGGTTGGCCCCCCGGACGGCCTCGCGTCGGTCGTTGAGGTACCGCACATACCCTGCAACCCCCGTGAGACAATGGAGACCACTCTGAGACACTCACCGGTTAGGGGATGGCGCGGGGCTGTGCTGTCTTTGGGTTTCTTGCGTTTCTTGGCTTTGGCCACTTTGGGCTTCTGTTGCGTGTTGTCGGAACTGTCGGGAGCCTTCTCGTCGTTCGAGGTCGACGCTTTTGGGGGCTTCGGTTCGTTCTCGGCCGAGACATTAGCCACTTCCTCGCTGGTTTCCATTTCACAAGCCGGAAGAAGCTAAACGTGACAGGTTGTAACTGTCAAACTTTCAATTGTTTTGGGGGGCGAAAGTCGCACTAAGTGACCGGGTTCCACGCACCGGCTCATTTGACTCAATTAAAACCACCAACAATTAAAGGAAATAAACATTACTCCCCGATTTTCGTGGTTAGGGTCACCTTTACAGGTTCCTGTATCCGCCTTGTAATGTCAGTTTAACATTTTCGGGGGGTTAAAATTGCATAAATGCGGAAATTTCCCAAATCGCCTCATTTGACTTAACTAAAATTACCACCAAGTAAACAATTAACAATACTTGGGTTATTTTGTAATATAAATTAATTTTACAGATTCCTACAATCGTTTTTGGTAGATGTCGGATAATTTTCTACCAAAAATCGAAAATAATATTTTTTTTTAATTGTAGTGACACATTTTCAACTGTCAAATTTTTAACTGTTTTGGGGAGCAACAATCACACAAAAACCAGCCAGTTAAAAAAAATAAACGTTGCTTTTGCAGGTTCCTGTAGTGGCTTTGCGAGTTGGTTGGTAGATGTTGTACCGGTCGCGTCACAATTGACTGTCATTGTTGCCAACCTCCAAACTCCCTAAATTTTGGGTTTGGGAACCAAATAGGTTCCAAAAAGTCGTGTTATTGAGGCATTGTGGTGCGAAAACAAATTCCGGGTGTTTGTAAGTAGTCGAAAGCGTGTTTTTGTCTCATTTTTGTTGTCCAGAAATTGTTTTTTCACCGAGTTGAAAAATCCCCTTTTTTGCAGAAATTGAGTCGCGAGTCGTCTCCTTTGTGCAGTTTTTGTTTTTTTTTTGTGGTGATATGCGGTACGGGTGCCCCCATGGATTATAAAACGTCGTTTTTGGTCGGGTAAGTGTTTTCGAGTCCTTGGCTTTTAGTTAGGTTATCTTCCTGCTCGAATTTTGGCAGCTGCTTTGAAGGCTATTTATTTTAGATTAATTTATGAACGTGTAAATGAATGACATGTGTATTGATCTGTGTATTTAAGTCTCGCATTGTTGGCGCTGATTCCGGCAGCCCCCGTGCCACTTGAATTAAAAATACATTGATTGCGTTAGCGATAATGAATGTCTTGAATACCACTCATTTCGGAGATTTATGTAAGGAGGCGACAACCTTGACGGATTATTTATGCCCCTGGTGCCCCCGAATTTACCGCCTCGAGGGCTCAGGTACGCAAATTCTAGGCTGTCTACCTGGACTTGCCTCCATGCCATCGATCCGGAAATTCACCTTTGGGTATAAATAACACTTTTAGGGGCTATTTTCGGAAAACGACAGCTTTTGGCGGCAAATATCTCGCCTTCGAAAACTCCAACACATCAAAATCACTATCAACAGGTGTAAAGTGGTGATTAACCCACGATTGCTGACAAAAACGCGGATTCAAACCCACATTTGTCGTTAATTTCAATCAATTTCGTCGTAGGAGAAAAAAAATTGAAATAAACCACACAAAAAGTCCACCACCAAAGTAATTTTTTTTCTTTCTTTTAATTAATTTATTTTTTTACCTGTTTGCGATTCGCTTTTATTTTACTTTTGTGTTTACTCAGTTGTCTAGGTTTTAATACGTATTTTGATACGTGAACCTGAGATACCAACCTGATAAAATTTATCATCATAAGAAATTAAAATGCTTCATGATTTTTTTTTTGAAAACTCCTTTTCTGTCCTATACTAGTTGGCTGAAAAGCTGGAAATGCACTGAAGTATATATGTAACTGTGGTGACAAAATGTAAAAAATTAAACGATGTTATGGTAACACTTGGAAATTCAGACCAGTGGCGGGTCATCATTTTTTATTCAAAAATAAATGAGTTATTTTTATATCTTCTGAACCACAATTGATACATTTTGGCTAAAGGTTGTATTTTTTCATTTATTTCTGGGACATTCTATTATAATATTCAAATTTCAATTTCAAAAAATTCAAAATCTAAACTAGTTACTTATGTGTAAACTGGGTCAAAGTTACGTGAATACGTTGTCAAAAACTCTACCTAGTTAAAGTAGCATCTAAAAAGTGACTAAACTTTACATTTTTTCTAGTTAATAGTTAAAATCTTTTTTTTAATTTTGCGTACGCCACTGACTTGAATAACTTAATATCGGTTGCTTAGCAATTAAAATAATTTGACTTTATTTTATATTGACCAGTGGCGTAGATTATGCGGGGGATGTGAGAATTATCTCTATTGTTTTGTTTTTAGCGTGTTTTAAAATTATTTTCATCTAGTCGTTTATAGAATTTCTTTACATGTAAATTTCTCTGTGCCGCTCTACTCTTCTTGAATCAGATAGTTCTGTCAATTGAAATAAATTAACATTTGAGATTAATTAGATTCAATATTTTTTAAAGTGGCTTTTTTATTTTGCATGGAAATTTTATAAACGACTAGGTGAAAATCATTTTAAAACACGCTGTAGTACCAAATGTATTAAAAAATTGAACAGTTTTTTTTTGTGTTTTTTTGCATTAAATCTTCCGAATTTTAAATTTTAAATTAACAGAAGTTTTCTAGAAATAACTTTCATTTTTAGATGTGGTAATTTTATTTTTTTTCTGTTCGAATTAAAATTTTGCGTGCGCCACTGATATGAAAAACTTAATTCATTTATTAACTTAATTTCAAAATGCTAGTGCCATATTCTGATTATCCCTTTATTGTTTTTTTGGTCTTTAGCATCTCCTAATATATCAGCTTGAAATAAATAGTTAATTTGAATGTTTTTTTGTTTTTTTTTTTTTGTAATAAAGTGTTTGAATTTCAAATTTAAATTGGCAGAAACTTTTTAGGGTTGAAATAAGTTTATTAGAAAACATTTTGTTTTGTTTCAAATTTTGTTTTGAACCCTAAAGGTATTTGACTCCTGGTCATTATATCTTTATTTTTAAGATTTTTTACAACTATAGACGTTGAAAACATTTAATTCTCAATAAAATTGCGAAAATTTTTAGGCTTTTATGTTTTATTTTATTATTTATTAATTGTTGAGTCGAAAAAATTGAACATGCAACCAAAATTATTTGATTTTATTTCGAAGAGGCCAGTGGCGTAGATTATGTTAGGTCTGACTAATTATATCTCTATTGTTTTGTTTTTTTTTGGACTTTCAGCGCCGTTTAATATCAATTGTATTAAAAAATGAACCGATTTTTTTTCACTAAATTCTTTGAATTTAAATTGTTAGAAATTTCCTAGAATTTACATAAAAATTATGAAACTTTATTTTGTAACATAATTGTGAAAATCTGTAGACTTTGATTTTATTTTTTATTGATCGAAAAAATTTAATATTTTAGCTTAGCAATAATTTGATTTTATTCCAAAAAAACCAGTGGCGTAGATTATGCTCTCTATTAGCCCACTAGTTTGTTTTTTTTTTTAAGTTTTTTGTATTTTAGCAATAAATCCTCTGATTTTCAAATTAAAATTGTGAGAAATTTAGATTTCAGATAAATTTTATTCGGAAACATTTTATTTTGTTCCAAATTTTGGAACCGTAAAATATTTATGACTCTCGGTCGTTATATCTTTATTTTTATGATTTTCCACAAATATAGACGTGGAAAACATTCAATTGCCAACAAAATTGTGAAAATCTTTAAAGTTTATGTTTTATTGATTGTATCAGAGTCAAAAAATGTATCATCTGGTGTGCTAAACAGCGAAAAAATCTCGTAATCCGACCCAACTTCAAAGTAATGAAAACTAGTAGGCAAACTTGACGTTAACAATTCTTTGTTGTGACATAAAATTCGATAACTTTATTGCGAATGTTTCTCAAACTTATTATCATTGATTCCTACGCACTCGAAATTGGAAGCGAATAAAACACCACTTGTGCTGGAATCGTGCCAAAACGAACAAATTATTATTTTATTACATATTTTCGATGATCGGTTAATTAGTATTTGATAGCAAGTAGGCAAAAAACTGTCATTTTTGACCCTCTTAGTGCACAAAACAGCCATTACCGCCCCCTAAATGTCTGTTTCCACTTTTCTCCCTCGTGATAAATCACCCTCGGGTTCGAAATCGAGCGAATTTGCGGCTCGTGTCGTGACCCAATGACACACGTAAACCCTCCCCTAAAACCCACCACACTTTTACAACTCGTACAAAGAGGGATTGCATTTGAGATAGGTCAGTCAACTTTCGAGTACCTGCCGTTGCTTGGTTACCGATTGCATCACGAGTCCTGAGGGATGCAAACTGTTCGCGGAAATTAGGGGATGAAGGGATAAAGATCGGTGCTTCGGCGAAATGCTCAAACGGCTTTCGGGGAAGACCGATCTTGCGCTTTTTAGCCGGAAACAATAAATTCTTTATCAAAGTGAGCTGGGACTTTGCAATTAAGGCTCCAGACCTCCTGAAAGCTGACGTATATCTATTACATGTACATTTATTTCATTGTTTTTTGCCGCAAATTTAGACTTGAAGAGTTTCTTGATGTTTGTAGAGTTTTCGTAAAGGTTGTGGTTTTTCAAAAATGGTACTTTTTTTCATAAAATTGCCCATAAATGATAAACGGTCCATGATATACCCCTAAAACCTAATATGGATATTCTTGGAATTAAAAACTCTTTCAAATAAGCGCATAATATACTGGGTGTTTCATAAGAAATAATATAACTTTGTTGCGCCACCCTATATAGGAATTACTTATAATGACGAAAATATTTTTGGACCATAGAAAAAATTTATATCTATCGTCTAAAAGAAACCGCATTTTGTTATCTTCTTTACTGTCAAAGTTATCGAAGAAATACGGAACTCTGGGACACCCTGTACATTTTTTACAATTTTTATTTTTGACTCCTACGTATAATTTTTTTTAGTTCTAGCACCGACTATTGTTGCAACACCAGATGACGCGTTGTAATTTGATTTTTGACAAAGAATAATTTTTCTCTGCTTTGCATTTTTGTCAAAACAAAATATTTTCAGTTTTAGTAAGACTATTCCATAATTTTGCTGCTCATCTAAGGATTACAACTTTATATGTTTTATTCACATTTTATCGATAAAAAGTTTCATATAAGTTACCATTTAAAAACAATTGCAAAACTCAAAAACAGAGCATTTGAATTTTTATTATCATTTTCTAAATGCAAATATTTAAAAAAAGCTTGGATCCATAAGTACTTTTTGTTCACCTTATACATAATAAACAAATAAATTTATTGAAAAAAATTTTAATTTTTTATTTTACGCCAAAACTGAAAAGGAGAAACATTTTTTGCTTCACTTGAAACGAACAAATCTGTAATTTAACGTTCATTATTCTGATTCAGTGAAAAGAAAAGTTGATTTTTCTTTTGATTTTGGACTTTATCTCTGCTTTTTAAGTCCTATCACATTGTCGGTTTTATTTATTTGACAACTATATGTCACTTTGACAATTAATTTATGAATTAAATAATGATAGTTTTTGTTAAAAATGACTTTGTTTTCTATCTTAAAGCTGTTTCTTTGAGTTGCTATTTATCAAAATTATGTTTTTCCCATACATTTTTTTTTATTTAACTTGCGAAAACTCATTTGTCAAAGTGACGTTATTGTCAAAAAAATAAAACCGCCAATTAAAAATCAGAAATTATTCCACAATTAGTCCAAAATTAAGAGAAAAATGAACTTCTTTCTACTGAGTTAGAATCTGAATCTCTGAAATAAGAGAAACTCATGGCAACGATGAGAAATATACAGGGTGAC